GAAGTTACAGCTATTCGGGCATATCTGCAGAATGAATGATGAGCAAAAAGTCAAGACCCTGGGTATTCGGCATAATGGATGGTCCGAATAGGAGAGGCAGACCTCACAGAGAATGGGGAGATGATATAGTAGATTGATGCGGAGCTATTCTACAGAAACGAAGCCACTTCGCACTGGACAGGGAAAGATGGAAAGAAATAGTGAGGCAGGCATCAGACACCAACAGGTCTTGAGCCCATGGTTGTTGATGACCAGTCTCCCATATCCCGCCTGTAGGAGCCAACCCTCTCCTTCCCCTCCTGCCTGCAGGATCATGCCGGGGCAGGCCCCTTACCATGCCTGCCTCCGTGAGAGTCTAGAGGTTCCCTTGAGAACTCTACTGGGTATCTGCTGTACAATGGCCTCTTTAAAGCAAAACTTTGGCTTTGCACACAACACATATCCATTTTCTTTACGGAGACCATCGCTGTATGCTAACAGATTTTGGTTAGGTGTAACATAATGCATTTCCTGTAACATGTACCCGTATAACTTTTCGTTATAGCAGGAACAGCAGCCCGCTCTAGGGTTGCCAGGTGTCCAGTATTGACCCGGACAGTCCAGTATTTTCACCTCCTGTCCGGTAAAAAAATTTCAGAAAATACTGGACACCTAAAATGTCCGGTATTTTCTGATTTTTTACTGGCCAGGAGGCGAAAATACCAGATTATCGGGGTCAATACCAGACACCTGGTAACCCTAAGCAACCGGGCCCAGCCCGCTCGCTTTCTCCCTCCCTGGATCTGGTTCTGCAGGGGAACTGTCTGGTCCGGAGCAGGGAGAGACGGCAGAGAAGATGGCCGTCGTAGTGTTGCAAACAGCTGTCTCTCAGAAAGTCATACCTAGGGCGTACTAAGCATGTGTAGTGCAACTGAGCATGCTCAGTAAAAGCTGTTGTTGCTGTTACCCTCATTCTGCGGCTACACTGGCAGCCTGTTAAGAAAGGCAAAGCCCAGCCCCTGTTCTTAAAGGGGCCATGATGGGTTTTTTGCTCAACAACTTTGATCTCCCCCAGGCCTTTTTTTCCCCCCCTTCGAACAGAATTTTTTTCCCCAGTGGTTTTTTTTTGGGGGGAGGGGGAAGGGATCGGTATTTTTGGTTAAACCATCTGGCAATCCTAGCCAGCTCACTGCGTACTCCAACTGTGTATTCACTGCCTACACAAACTGTCTGCCTGGCGCAAGTGTCAAGGGAAGATATGTTCAAGGAACAAATGGACTGGATGAATACGCTCTTAGAAGAGATGCTAGCCGAGTGCCAGGACAAGTTCACGTCAAGAACAGCAGAAGAGAGCGTGCAGGGAGTTGCAGGCAAGGCAACAGGATAGTATCTTTGCCTCCCTTGTAACAGTAATGGAGCATCTGGCTGCTTGCTTGAAGAACAAGTCCACTCAACCCTAGAACCCTGTTCCACACTGTGCATAACAACTTTCCCTCCTCTCCCAGTTCTACAGACTACACTCCCAAAGGTCCCAGGACATGGGAGGAGGAGAACTCAAGGGCACTCAAGGGCAGTGTTAACCTCCAGGACCTAGGAAGGCAAAAGGCTGTCCTTCTCATGTTTCTGAGCTTGCCCCTCCCCCTTTCAGGTTCCCACCCTGGACTTCTATTATTTCCCTGCTGTATTCCCTACATAAAAAAGCATGATTTTTGAACAACAATCTCTTTCTTCATTGATTGTACTGCAGTGGTAGAGTGGGGGATTACAGGAAAACAATTGAATGCAGGAGCACTTCATTGAGAGCAATGTGCATGAGTCTTAAAACTGGCAATTCATAAAACTTTCCTTCAAAGCCTCTCTGATTTCCACTGTCCCATTCTGTGCTCTCCTTATCGTCCTGGTATCTGGCTGGTCAAAATCTCTGGCTAGGCACTCAGCCCTCCACCCGGCCAGATAACCTTCTCCCTCACCCTTGCAAAGATTATGGAACACACAAAGGCTGACACCACAAAGGAAATGTTGCATATGCTGAGGTCCAACCTAGTCATGAGACTCTAAACCTTCCCTTTAAACATCCATTGCATGGTAGGTGATGATTGGTGGTGTTCTGTTATTTTCCTGTTTTACTTCCTTACAAGCCCTACAAGGAAAATAAAAGAACATAAAGGCTTGAACTAGCACATAACAGTTAGTAAAAGCTAGAGAAATCTGCAAACACAGAGAGTCCGACTAAGGCCATGCAGTGGAAAAAGGAAGTAGGATGCACCAGCCTATACTACCTCTTAAGCCCTCAGCATGGAGTGCAAGATGCACACCTGTGCATGTGCAGACCAATGGACACTGCTTGTTAGCAGTTCCACATTCAGATGCATGGTGCATGTGTGTTATACACACGAAACACACTTGGGGTCAGCACACAATGAACAAGAGCTTCAGAGTGCACCACTCAGACTCTGTCGGGAAGCTCAACCCCTTAAAGGCACAGTCCGCAGTACCATATACACACTGCATTTATATTAAGCATTTTAAAAATATATTAATGTGCCATTGCGGGAATCAGATACAGCTATAACAGGATCTCTGAACTTCATTCAACTCACATTTACTTTCTTCTATTTAAATAATGTTTCAGTTTTTGCAGAAGGTCTGTAAAGATTTACACTGGCTACATGATTTTGGGAACTGTGCCATCTTATACTTGCCGCAGCAATTTCATTCCACTATGCAACAGGGCCTGGTCATAAGGAACTTTAGTTGTTCCCCATTCAGATATTTGGCCAATAATAATCTACCAGATGGAATATTGGGAAACAAACAGCTTGAAGTCCTGTGGCACCTTATAGACCAGCGGTTCTCAAACTTTTTGGGCTCCGGAGCCCTTTACATGCGTAAAAATTTATGCGGAGCCCCAGCGGTGTGTGTTAATTGCATCAGTTCAAAGTGATTCTCAATTATGCTTTTGAAGGCTTTTCAGTTTGTCAACTTCACGGAGCCCCTGGAGATGTCTCGTGGAGCCCTGGAGCTCTCTGGAGCACAGTTCGAGAAACACTGTTATAGACTGACAGATTTATTGGAGCATAAACTTATGTGGGGAAAGACCCACTTTCTCAGATGCATCTGACAAAGTGGGTATTTGCCCACGAAAGCTTATACTCCAAAAAATCTGTTAGTGAGTCTATAAGGATCCACGGGACTTCTCATTGTTTATGTGGATTCAGACACAGCTACCCCTCGCTTATTTCTTGTATATTCCTTATCCTGGGAAGTACTTGCTGATGGACTCATTGATCAAACCTGAACAGGACCTCCTCAGCCAAGAAACCCCTCTTCCTAGGCCATGATTACATACATAAAAACTTACCCCCAAGATCCTTTTAATGCAGAGACTAGTATTCCAATATAATGGTGTTAATATCAGCATAATTTACTCCCATATAGGAAGAGAAATAAGCAATTGTTATATAAGCACCTTTATACCAAAATAACTCCATCCCTACTAGGGATTATACTGGCATAAAATTTCATTAAAAAATTACATTCCTAATTGAAACAGTTATACCAATACAAAACTTGCATGTAGGACAGGCCTTGTAAGCAACAGCAGTGTAAAACCAGTGCCAGTTTAGTAGCCTAACAAGAACAGAGGGAATGCAAAAAGGGGAAATCAAACAGGAGATAGGGAATGGGAATCCATACTATTGGAAGGAGGAACAATGGAAACAGAGGGGGAAAAAAAGAGACAAAACACAAGACATAGAATAGAAAGGAAGGGCCGGGGACTTACATATAAGTATTCAAGGGGGAGGGAAAGGACAAGCAAATAGAGCTATGGAGCTACAGAGAGAGACAGAGAGCGAGAGAAAGGAAAGAAAAATAATAAAAATTAGCTAAATATTTAATGCCATGCTAGGAATTGTGTTTGAAGTGTCTTTCAGCTACTGCTCCAATTACATAAAGTCATCATTGATTACATCTGTAGGAATAATGGATTAATATCTAACATCTTTGCATTAAAATGTTCGAATCTCCTCCAAAAATGCTGATTGCCATTTCATAGATTGTAACTTGAAGCAAGTGGCGTAGAAAAGATTTTCATATGTAGCTAGGTAAAAATGACGGTAAAGCTTTCTGTCTTATTCAGTAATTTGAGTTCTACAACCAGAAAAAAAAATTTGAGTGTGATACAGTTAAAATTAAGTCACATTTCTATCTGAAGATGCTTTTACCCACAGCTGTTTGGGGCAATACCTAAGTTGACTATGAGAAAGATATTAGCAGGAAAAAAAAGTTCTTTTTTAGTTTAGCAGTTTAAGTTTTTCCAGTTACAGATTAACACAGCTATCCCTCTGAAACTCTATTTTTTAGTATGTACCTCTTGGGTTGTGGGGAGAGAAGCAACCCTAAAAAGGCTCTAAACTGCTGACCCAGTACAACAACCCTACCATATGCATAGTCTCCTGATGCTGTCCTCAATCTGGTGAAGGAAAACAGTTCAGCCAAAATTATATTTTGACAAATTCCACATGAGATGTGGAGTAGAAAAGAGGTAGCAGTGGAAATGATAACCAGTCATTCATTGTAATGATATTACTAATAAGTAATGAGTGATTTATTTTACTTTTTCAGTCCCATGATCTTTCTGTAGAGTATCTTCTGAGCACTGAAGTGCTTTTCCACCAATTGGGATATACCCAAACTAAAGACACTGACTTTCCTGACTCAATTTATCACCACAAAAATATATTTTATTGGCCTTATCGTTGCAAAATATTCTTCATAACTTTCATGAATTCTAACATGAAAAAATTTCATGAAAAACCAAATCAAAGTCCATAAGCACGTATTACATTTTCTTATAATCTGAACTAACACTGCATTAATGTGTCTTCCAGAAATTTTCACAAGCCACCAAAGACACAAGGTCTGATTCTCTGAAGACTCTTCTGTAATAATGTGATGGTCTGATAAAAATATCTTATCTTTTAACACCACAGCTGGTGCAACCAACGCATTGTACTTACCAAGGAGGATAAATGTGGACAATATCCTGTGGACCTCCCTTGAGGTGAGCTGCTGTTTCCTTTGTAAAAAGAACTTTTAATCTGGTCTCAGTATCAATGACATCAACTTCAGAGGAGCTGTCAGCAGGCAGCTGTCCCAGCTGCTGGCAGAGAGCAACTTGCTTAGCACATTCCTCATGCACCTCTAAGATCTTCACAATTAATACACCAGATTTGCCTCCTGAAAATTAAGCAAAATGACAATAAAATAAAATAAAAAGTCAGGAAGATGTGTTCTACAGATCAGAGTAGGGCCATAAAAAATCAACATCCCATTTCCAGTCTCCTCTCATTTATTTTTGACAAAGCAATCTGGATGTGTTAAGCAAAGCGAAATAATAGAACACCAAGTTATGAACCTCCCGGGTTAAAAAAAAAATCACATGGTCACAAAACATTCTATAGAGATGTCATGAAATGAACGAAACATGGAAGTCACTGTCTAGCAATATAAGGATGACAGCACCAAACACTGTGTTTTTAAAAAATGAAAAAGAACCCACTAAGTTTGAAATTACTACTCTGCCTTTTAATGTTGTCTAACTTTCAATTCCTCACTTCTTTTGTCCTTTTTATGGCCAAATCCTGTCTTGTTCTTTTACAGGGAAGGGGATCTTCCCCAGCAATGGGGGTAGATAGGTATATAGTTATTGTGTGTCCAATATCCTGCCACTAATATAGTCCATAGCCCTTAATAGTACCAACGCTCTCTCAATACCCCATACAAAATTATTACAAAGGAGAACTTGGGAGATGGACAACTCTGTGGGAGCTGATACATGTGGGGAGCTGGCTTAAAAGCCTGTTTCCTATGTGTACCAGCTCTTGCCTGCGCCCCTCACCATCCGCACTGCTACCTTTCTATCAGAGGCAGCACCTTTGCAGGAGGGAGGCAGGCAGCTTTGTGTGATCCGGTTCTCAAGGACACTGGCTCCCACCTCCCACCCCCTCTTTGCTGCCTCTGACATGTTGACATCCTTCAAGCATACTCTCTCCCCCCCCCAGCACTGTTTCTGCTTTCAGAGGCAAGGGAAGGCGGGGGGGAGGGGGGGGAGGAGAGGGGGAATGAAACATGACAGGCCCAGGTTTGCTGCAAGCAGAGGCTACTCCACATGCCATGGAGCAGCCTGGCTCAGTCCTTGCTCACATCGCGTCCAAGATGTACCCCGGCTGTGTGCCTGGTTCTTACTACATGTAAATTGCTGAGCTACAGCGGGGGAAGCTCCCAGACCCAGTGTGAGCTGGGACTGAGTACTTCCCTTATCGACTAATCATGCAGTTGATACAAATTGTACTACTCAATTAGCCAATTACCCGCCTTTTAGCACCCTTAGTATCTTTTTAGGTATTGAAATTAGGCTGACTGGTCTATAGTTTCCTGGTTCTTCCTTGTTCACCTTTTTAAAGATAGGCAGTGTGTTCTCCCTTCTCCAAGTCTTCTGGAACCATTCTTGTCCTCCAGAAATTCTCTAAGATATTTGCTAATGGTTCCTTGTTTGCTTCATCTAGTTCCTTATGTACCCTAGGTCCAGGATGAATTTCACCAGTCTCTGCTGACTGGAATAAATCCAACTTACCTAAATATTCTTTTAGTCTGTTCTTTCCTTATTTTGACTTGCATTCCTTCCCCCGTGGTTATCAATATGTTGGGTGTTTAGTCATCAATAGCCAGTTTAGTGAAGACTGAATAATAGCAGACATTAAGCACCTCACCTGTCCCGCTCAGTAGTCATTTTACTCTTGATCCTCATGTGTATAAAGAACCTTTTGTTATTGCCTTGCATATCCCCTTCTAAGTCTAACTCATTTACTGACTTAACCTTTCTGATTTTATGTCTACATACTTGTAATGTTCTTTTATACTCTTTATCAATTTAACCATGTTTCCACTTTTTGTAGGATTCCTTTTTGATTCTCAGGTCATTAAAGAGCTCCTGATGAATCCATATTGGCTTCTTACAAGTTTTCAGATTCTTCCTTGCAGTTGTGCCTTTAATATTGTTTCCTTGAGGAACTACCAGGTCTCCTTCTGTCCTTTTTCCCTTAGATTTTCTTCCCATGAGACCTTACCTACCAGTTCTTTGAGTTTGTTAAAGCCCAATAACTTTATCCTACTGGTCTCACACCTTCCTTTCCTGAGAATCATTTCCTATCTTTTCAAACAAATGTCCTGATGTATTCCAAGAATTGACTCGAGATTTCTTGTTTTGCTCTATTACAGGGGCGGCCAACCCGTGGCTCCTGATGGAACTGGAACAGAACACAGAACCACTCAGGTCAGCCGCTCTCATGGCCCCCAGCACACTACGTCATATCCTGCACGTACAGGCCGGATCGCACACAGTGTCTCACAGCCTGCACATGCTAGCAGCCAGCTGCTGAGCGCAGGCAGCTGCAGTGGCGAAGGCTCCAGGTGCAGCGGCAGCACCAGCAGTGGCTCTGGGACCTGGGCATAAGGTTAGTGGGGGAAGGGGATTGGGTTAGAGCATGGAAGGGAGGTGTCTGGCTCTAGGAAAGGGGAGATGAGGAGAGGGGAAAGGAGGGGGTGCTCATAGTGTGCCAGCTGCTCAGCGCACATGCCCCAGCGCCTGGAGGGAGACACGTGGCTGTAGTGGTAGCAGCGCTGGGACCCGAGAATTAGATTAGAGCGGGGGAAGGTGCCTGGCTCTAGTCTGGGTTAGGGGAGGCTAGTCTGGGTTAGGGCAGAGGGTTGGGTTCGTGGTGGGGAGGGTGCACGTGGCATCCCAGCAAGCACATCTCAAGGCTGGCTGCTCAGTACACGCGCCCCAGCGCCTGGAGGGAGATATGTGCGGCCGTAGTGGCAGCTCCGCCACCAGGACCTGAGAATTAGGTTAGAGCGGTGGAGGGGGGGAGGGATTGGGAGAAGGGGGGCCGGTGCCTGGCTCGGGGGGAGGGGGAGATTGGTTTGGGGGGGGGCCTGCCTCTGGGGAAGGGGAGGGGGCTTGGGGTGGGGGGGGGGCTGGGG